TATGTGACGCTTCCCACCTCTCCTGGCCTTGTGGGGGGGCCGCGTTGCAGGAGCTGTTGCCTATGGAAACATGCATGGCCTGCTTCCTCTTGCTTGCATTGCCAGCCTCGGGGGTGGGGTGGAGGGGAGGTTAAGAAGAAAGAGAGGCAGCGCGTGAAAAGGATCAGAAATGGGACAGTCGGCATGGCACAAGCAGGCCCAGAATTAGTGTCTTTTGCCAGGCAAGCAGGGCAGGGGTGTGAAAAGGCAGGAGCCCTGGGCCATGCAGCACACGATCTTTGTTGTTAATGCCCTTGAATCTCCTCATGGGGTGCTCTAGGGCTTGCAGCCAGGCATGGGGCCAAGGGGTTTTGAATGCTAATCCAGGTTGCATGTGGCCAGAATGTGGCTCTCTGACTGAATTTGAAGATGCTTTTCCTTAAGAGCCAGTGGCTGACCCATTGCTCCCAGCATGGCGCCACAAAGTGTGGTGGGGGCAGATAAAAGGCAAATGTACCTGCGTTATTTAAATGATGGTAGTTTTCACAAACACAGTATTATTTATGAAGTTAATTTTAATTTCAGCTTTCTTAAAAAAGGTTAAAATGTTTCCATTTGATTCTCTCTGGCTACGTCTAGACTGGCATGATTTTCCGCAAATGCTTTTAACGGAAAAAAATTCCGTTAAAAGCATTTGCAGAAAGAGCATCTAGATTGGCACGGACGCTTTTCCGCAAAAGCACGTTTTGCGGAAAAGCGTCCGTGCCAATCTAGACGCGCTTTTCCACAGAAAAGCCCCGATTGCCATTTTCACTATCGGGGCTTTTTTGCGCAAAACAAATCTCTGCTGTCTACACTGGCCCTTTTGCGCAAAAGTTTTGCGCAAAAGGGACTTTTGCCCGAACGGGAACAGCATAGTATTTCCACAAGAAGCACTGATTTCCGACAGTAGGAAGTCAGTGTTCTTGTGGTAATTCAAGCGGCCAGTGTAGACAGCTGGCAAGGATTTCCCCAAAAGCAGCTGCTTTTGCAGAAAAACTTTCCAGTCTAGACACAGCCTGTATGTATATGAAAACTTGATTTGGTGATTCTCTCTCATTCCTGTTTGAGAAGCAATCCCAGTCTAGGCACAACCTGTTTTCCTGACACAACTGACCTCCTGACCTTGCTTTAAGTTATGACAGGACCACCAAATTGGGAAGGAAGCTTCCTCTCAACTCCTACCATTTAGGAGGAGTTCTTGAATAAACAGACAAACTTTCTGAAATACATAATTGATTTAGGCACCTCTGAGCTCTACCTTCTCCCCCCCATGGCAATATTACCCTTACATTGTGACTCCAGTGTGGAACTGATTTTGTGGTGGCAAGTATCTGGCCTTGTGGTGAAATGGGAGCAAAAAATACCCTTGTTGGCATTTCTTTAAGACTAGAGAATTGATCCTCTTGGGGGAGAACTAAATCCTGCTGGGGGGGGGTCACAAAGATCCAAACAAGAAAGTGTAACAGCCTGGGCCGGAGTGAGACATTCCGGGTACGTCTCCACAGCAGCGCTAGTTTGGACTAACTGGCGTTATTCCGAAATAACAAAGAGCACTTCTACACTCCAAGGCTACGTCTAGACTGGCATGATTTTCCGCAAATGCTTTTAACGGAAAAAAATTCCGTTAAAAGCATTTGCAGAAAGAGCATCTAGATTGGCACGGACGCTTTTCCGCAAAAGCACGTTTTGCGGAAAAGCGTCCGTGCCAATCTAGACGCGCTTTTCCACAGAAAAGCCCCGATTGCCATTTTCACTATCGGGGCTTTTTTGCGCAAAACAAATCTCTGCTGTCTACACTGGCCCTTTTGCGCAAAAGTTTTGCGCAAAAGGGACTTTTGCCCGAACGGGAACAGCATAGTATTTCCACAAGAAGCACTGATTTCCGACAGTAGGAAGTCAGTGTTCTTGTGGTAATTCAAGCGGCCAGTGTAGACAGCTGGCAAGTTTTTCTGCAAAAGCAGCTGATTTTGCGGAAAAACTTGCCAGTCTAGACACAGCCCAAGTGTTTATTTGGACATCATGTCAAGCTGGAGAACTTCATACACTGACTCATGGTAACACTCATTTCACAAGGACTAAGGGACGTCAAAGGGAGAGTGCTCTTCCTTCAACTTTCTGCTGTGTAGACCGCACCAAAAGCCGAAATAAGCTATTTCGACTTCAGCTATGCGACTGACATAGCTGACGTTGTGTAGCTTATTCCAACTTTAGCTTTGCTCTGTAGAAGTGCCCCTCAGAGGCCCTAAGTCTCAGAGGGGCAGCCATGTTAGTCTGTAACTTTAAAAGCAAAGAGTGCACCTTATGCAGCAGCTCCGGCTCCGTGCTGAGTGCTGTGTCATCTGCAAGGGCACCCAGAGTACACTGTGTCTGGGCAGTGTCCTGGAGGGGGGAGGCAGTAGGGGAATGGCGTGTGAGAGGAGCCCCTGAAAGCACGTGTCTCAGCTTGCCTGACCGAGCAGCCACAGAACAGGCGGGCCTCCTGGTGCCCTCCCTAGAGTGCTTTCAGGAACTTTAAATCCAAGGCAGGCGCCATTTCGAAATCATTCTGAGCTAGTTCGATGCGCCCATCGTGTGGACGCACTGTTTTGATTTTGTTCTCCCCGGAGTTGTTTCAATTTTACTTATTTTGAAATTATTTCCTAGTGCTGACATGCCCTTAGAGACTAACAAAAACATACATAGGATCGGAGAGTATCTCTATTTTTGTCAGTCTCTAAGGTGCCACAGGACCACTCGTTATTTTTTGAGGCCCTAAGCTAAGTCACGTTTAAGTGGTCCCACAGCATTACCAAAAGAATGTGTATTGTTCTAACAGAAAGGACACTGAAAATAGAAATAATAAAGTTTTGTATTTGCCTATGCACCGGTACCTAGGCACGGAGGCAACTACAAACTAATTAGAGGCCCCTCGTTATCCGAGGCCTAAGCTGTGGCTTCCTTTGTGTGTGCTGCTTGGCCAGCAAGGGGAGGCACTCGTGTTTCCCTGGGAGACCTGTAAGTGGCGTGCTAGTGCTGGGTTATGAACACAGAAGCACTATTGGGTCATGAAAGCAACCAAGGGCCAGTGGAGACGTACCCTGATGTGCAAGCCATGCTGGCTTTTGCTGAAGTGTAAATATCTCTAAGGCAGGGTTGTACACGGAACTAAAAATTTGGCAGCTGGTGGAGCAGCACTTTTGGTGCCTACACTGGACTGCAGAGCTGGCTCTATCCACCCACCCGTAGAGGCCTGAGGAGTTTGCTCTCCAGCTCCCCCCCC